TGACTTTCACATTCTATTTATTGATACGATCACAGGACTATAAACATACAAATCATTGTTTTATCATACAAAGGAGTAATGTAATATATTAAAAACTTATGGCGCACAATCATACATATTAGACAATAAAATGATGACTTTGTTAACTCCCGACTCAATATTACAAATTCACTCTCAAACACTGTCCTTCATTCTGAGTTCCCCTCCCGACTGTACAACAAAAGAAAGCAGAAAAAAAGCAAGAAAGGACAATTCTTAGAAATATAACAAAATCTGCTCTTTAATTGCAACCATTCGTTCTCAATTTGAATATAGTTATCCAGCCTATCAACTCGTTTCTGGTCCATAATAACATCAACCCACACTCACACTTCACAGGAAATCCAATAATCTTTTTCTAAGATTATTCTTGTAATCTGGATCCAATTACCCTTGTCACCAAACTTCCATCTATGTGAGTGAGGAGAGAAATGTTACATACATACATGTACATGTATATATGTATATATATATAAACACACACAAACACACATATACATATATATATGTGTGTGTATGTACATTTATACATATATATACACATACATATAAATGTGTTTATATACATGTGTGTGTGTGTGTGTGTGTGTGTGTGTGTGTGTGTGTGTGTGTGTGTGTGTGTGTGTGTGTGTGTGTGTGTGTGTGTGTGTGTGTGTGTGTGTGTGTGTGTGTGTGTGTGTGTGTGTGTGTGTGTGTGTGTGTGTGTGTGTGTGTGTGTGTGTGTGTGTGTGTGTGTGTGTGTGTGTAAGGGATGGATGGAGATACAAGAGGTCACCCTCCTAGAATATACAATGCACCATAATACATGGAAAGTTTTCAAGTGAGCATGTACAGAAGATCTCCACACATGACAGCAAGTCTACATAACATTTCATCTGACATGACATGGCCTGATCCTGCTCTACGTTAACGCAACACAGGAAATGTACTCATGTACAGACCTATGTTTCCAATATACCATACAGGAGACATATGAATGACTTATTAACATAAATCCAATTAATAAGAATCATAAGCATACACATATGAAGTACAAAATTGTACCAAAATCTGTACAAAGTTGTATACTTACATTGCAGAATGATACATACATTCATTACTATACAACTATTTTTACATTTTTCATTGGGTCAGCAGAATTATAATGGCATTCCAATCTTGTCTTTGATAGTTTTTGCTTGACTAATTTCAAGTAATGTAGGCAATGTACACCTGTCACTTTAAATGATTAGGAACAGTGTGAATATCAGATTTTATCTCCAAAATTAAGCAGTTTATAATTATTATGCCTGTATGAACTATCTTATTAAATGCTGGTCAACTCTAACTTCCTTTCCTAATATACACCAGTTTATAGGGAATTCAAAGAATTTACAGAGCAAAGACTGGTCATCCTTGGCATCTCCACACAGCTTGAATAATGTATGTTTTATGGGATCTTTTGTCGATGCCAATGAACCACAAAAACAAATGGAATTACCAAAATTGCCTGCCTAAGAGCTTTGTGACAGTCTAAAACACTGCTGGACCACAGGCAAGCCTGTTTCAACATAAAGCATTAGAAATTAAGTAGGAGAGAACTGACAGACTACAGTAGCTAGTAATATATGGCTTAATGCTTGCAAATGGTGATGCAGTATCATGAATGGCTGATGCCTTTGCAATATGACAGATTTCAGAGAACAATACAAGACAAGCATTAAGTGTACAATTTGTACGAACTTCACAACAAGATAGGTGTTTCTTTCCATAATAGTGCTAGATATTACTTAAGAAATTCCAAAAAGCCCTGTAGTTCATACTCAGCAAAGTAATCCATTAACAATCATCAGATTCATTTTTATTTTCACACCAAAGCTTAGGCAGTAACTCACTACCTTTAGCATTGCATTTTTGCACTTGTCTAATAATGTCTCATTACTTTATTACAAATATATTTCTCTCTGCACACATTTATTCTAATGCATCACCAAGAGTTTTATATCTATGCAAATGCATGTGTTACACAATAGCACACACATATACATACACATTAGACACATGTTCTGCATACTTCCTGAATTCAAATTATTGTACATTTTTCAATTCCCAATCCACATCTTGGGAAAAAAAATAAAAACTGTAACTGCAAAATATAAAGTTAAAGAGGGAGAAGATAGCACTCTTTCAAAATCATTGCTAAATTAGCAATGCCACCAGCGTGACAGCTGTATTTATAAATTTATCATTACAAAAAGCATTTCCAGACTCAGGCCAGTTGTCAATGTTATGTTTTATTTTCTACTTTTATTTATAAAGACATACATTCCCTTTCATATATGTGACATCTGATTTTGAATGTTGCAAAAGGTATTCATGAATCTGTACAAAGTTATACCTCTATAAATAAACAATGACAGGAAAGGAAAACTTTTGATGTCAATCACTCTCTAATGACTAAAAGATCTCTCCACTTTGTCCAGCTTTGAACTGTATGCATAATTTCATGACAAAAACTGAATTAGTTGCAATGCACAACAAATACAGTCAGGAATGATCTTATTTGTCACACAATCAATTAACTCCAAAGCCCAGGATCCCTAAAACTGATGAAACTGCAAAAAATGACCACTGATGAATATTATGGAGGAGGACAAAATTCTGATTGATCTTAGGAAAAGTCTACATTTTCTTTATGGATGGACGATTAACCATTTTTGGATACCATTCATTCTACAATGAGGAATCAGGGCAAAGCATTATTCTTAGTTTTTCTTCTTCTGTTTGATAATCGTGAGTGTGCGCTTAATGCCCTCATTGCTACATTCTGTCTGACTGAAAGAAAAAAAAAATAGAAAAAACAAAAATAAAAACAAAAAAAATTGGTGTATATCTACAATAATGGGGAAAAATGGCCCCCAGGTAGGAATGACTCGTGGGAAAATATCAACCTACAAAGATGACACATCACCCTAATTCAGTTTTTAATTTTTGGTTAAATCAAAGCGAGTTATAATCACTGAAAGAAAGAAAGAAAGAAAGAAAAAGAAAAGAAAAAAAAAAAAAAAAAAAAAAAAAAAAAAAAAAAAACAATTATAAAATACACTAAACTTTGCTACATATGCATATGAAAAGTGTGTGTCATATCTACAGTTAAAAGTAAAGAAGTTCACAAACAATACCTTTGATGACACCACGAGAATGATCATCACAACTGATGCTTGTGTTGGAATGAGGTTTCGTTGTTAAGCTTTGAGGAAATAGTTGATATTCTTTCAACTTCTTCTCTGATTCACGAACAGAAAAAGAATGAAATTATCAACTTTCTTAATAAAAAAAAACAAAAACATATCATAACATAACATACACATCCAATGATCACATGAAGCCTTGCACTTTTCTTGGAAATAACATTCTCTTCCACTCTTATTCTTCTATGCAATGGAAAGAATCATGATCTGAAACCTGTGGTAACAACCAACAGGCCTTTTGATATTCTTCTTAATTAAGATTAAATATAAAAATCATGTATTTAGTGAGCAGTTTGATTGAAAACAAATACACAATATATTTAAGCAAACATTTATAAACTGCTTTCCTGTTCCAATATCTAAAGATACATATATTAGAAAAATCTCATTATTAAACACATCACAAAATCACTAAAACCATAAACAAAAACAAAAATGGTTCCTTCTATATTTCACACTATCCCAAGTAACACAAAAAATAACTTCTTTTCATTATTCATCACAACAAGAATGCACATATTCATCTGTTAGTCAAATGGAATGTATGAACATTCACATATTGCCCTAAATCATCAAAATGTAGACATGATACTTTAGAACCTATCACAATTACATCATCTTCTAGTGCATGCTGGGCGGTCATTACTGCATAGACTCTATAAACAGTTCTGATACAGGGAAGCACAAATTCTTGAAGACTTTGATTAAACTGGATGGCAGCTGATCAACTGTTTGCAAAGACTTTAATTTGAGCTTGATCCTTGTTAAGTGATCCCGCTTAGAAGAGCATGTCAGATGTACTCTCAGCACTCCATGTGACGGTTTCGGATTCATCGGCTGGTCGTAAGTAGTCCTCTTCGACCCTTTCTGATGGAGCAGAAGGGACCGGAGGCGGAGCTTGGACGGGCGGTGGTGTTCGAGACACACCGAGCTCAAAGGTGCTACCAAGCTGGATTTTACTGGGGGTGTAACTCGCCAAGCCACCTGTAAGGGAGAGGGTGGGATGGTTACTACTGCTACAACTACACTAAACCTTAGCCAAGCAGTTAATTTAGCACAGGCAAATTCATAACAAATTAAGGGTAATGTGTACTTTGGGTAAGGTATGATGCTGGTCTATAAACTTAAATACCTTCTATAAAATGAATTTTATTATTCTTGGGACTAAATAATCCTTGTACCCTCATGTACTGATTGGTCACTGAAAAGCAAAACTATTAGCTGTTACTGAGAAGCACATTTCACATTAAACTTAAGACAAGGAAGCCACTGGAAGCTTGCATTGTAGAGATGACATAGCTTCCTGTCAGAACTATACAGTAAATGGATAGGAAATTCTAAGACACTCAATTGGAAGCTGTAGATCATAAAGCATCCTTCGGATTTCCATTTTTCTAAAGCACTATACCTGTGTGTATTTTGACCTTTCCTTTGAAATAAAGCAAAGCCATAACAGTCCTGTAAAAACCACTTTTTAATTCTAATAGTTATTTGAATGATTACTTAAACATAGTACACTTATAATAATGTAATAATAATTTTCCTGGAAAGAATATAAGATAAGAAGCTTGAGGCATGGCTGCAAAACTGATGCATAAAATATTCTTGTGGGAGCAAGCCATAGACCTGTATGCTGTAAGCCAATGTAAGCCTAGACTGAACTATATTATACCTACAATCGTATCGATGGTTGTCTAGTCACATGAACCTTGAGGTTTACAGTCTAGTGTACTCCTGACATGCATTATCACCTGGAGGGAAGGATACTACATTTATCATACAGAAGTACATGCATCAAAAATTAAAGGAAAGAGGGAAAGAAGAGGTAGATAATAAAAATCTGACTCTTAAAGATTAACTACACATACAATCTTTGTATATGACTTTCTCTCTTGACCTCCTCTCTTAAAATCAGCTGGAGGTCCCTTCCAAGGCACTCTCAAAGACTCATGATGACTAACAATACCAACACTTTTATGTTTGGCTGACAGATCAACTGGAGCATTATGAGCTCCAAGCCCTATATCAGCTGGTGTATTGGGAGTCATCCTTGCCAGCCTATCTATGGCACCTTTTTCTACTGGGATTTTTACTTTACCCCTATGCTTTTGTCTTTGTGGTGGTTCAACTGATGTTTGGGATTTCATTGGGTTAGAATCAATGTCTTTTGGAGGTTTTAGGGTGCCTTTTATAGGCAGGTCAGTAACCTTTTCTTCTGAGAATGGGGGAAGGTTCTTGCCCACAAGAGGTACATTTTCCTGCCTTAGAGATTTTATATTTCTTACTTGTTTTTCCTTTGGATATTCGACCTCTAAAGGCTTTGGTACGTCACAACTTGAGACAATATCCTTGGAGAAACTACTTGTTGAAATATTTGCATCCTTATAGTTCACTTCTAAGTTCCGATACTCCTGAACTTTCCCATGACCAGTAATAGAAAACTTGCAATCACCAAATAATTCCTTTACACTTTTAGGCTCTTTAGTCTTAACCTTTCTAAGTCTTGGGACATTCCCACTTGAAACTGAAGAATTGCCAAATTTATTCATTAGCTCTTCATGCAGTGGGTGACCAGAACTTTGCTGAGGTTTAGATGTTCTCTTTGCAGGTCCTCCTTTGGGTGCTCCAGGGGGATTCTGGGATTTTGTTGCTTTAGTTACTCTCACTTTCATGACCTCTCTGTGTTCTGTGGGATTTGCTGGCAAGGCTACTTTCTTCTTGTCTTTTGCAATTACTTCTTTTTCCTTTACATTCCTATTTTCAGAAGTATGTTTATTGGTTGAAACAAGTGGCTGTGAGGATTTTGATCTATCAATTCTGAAAGGAGGTTTGTTTATTGCAACTTCCTTTACTGGAGATAATGTGCTGCCTTTCTGTGTCATAGAAACTATGTCAGGGACAGGCTGATACTCAGACACTTTTTCCTGAGTAACATCCTGATTATCATAAACAGGCTTTAGATCCAATTTGAGTTCTGTTCGAGAACGGAGACGCTCTTGGCCAATGTCAGTATCTTTGACTTCTGTATCTTTCTTCAATGTTTTTACATGCTTGCCTATCACTGTTCTTGGCAATGGTGCTGGAGGATGAGATGGCTGTGGTGGTAGTTTATCGGTATCTTTCACATCTGGGTCTTTATTACCCTGAGCAACTGGGGGTGGAGGTCTTCTGGGCTTCTTGGCAAACTTTATAGATCCATGCTTACTGTTTCTTGGTCCTTTCACTATGTTCCTGGCAGCCCTCTCTACATCAGCATCATTACTATTCAGACTAGCACTAGTGCGGTGGTACGGTTGAGGGTGGTAGGCAGGGGAGCGGTAACCACAAGTGGAGAAGGAGGAGTTGTTAGGGAGCGCGACACTGGGAGCAAGAGGGATATTCGGCTGAGAGAGAGGCACGGTGTGTGATCTTCCAGCGGGACCCACACATATGGTGATACAAGAAGTACCGCTGACGATGGGCATTTGCTTGACTCCCCGGGCTGCATTGGAGACCAGTTTAAATAATCATCAGAGAAAAATATGAAATGAATTACTTTTTTTTTCACTATAAAAGCTAATACAGATAATTACAAAATTAGAAAAATAGCATTACCAATTATTAACACGCATGCTTCTTAATTGTAGCAATGTGGCTACACTACACTAATACTCTCTGTTTATTCTTATATTTTTGAATAACTGCTACTCAGGAACTATTTAAGTGTTTCTTGTACTGGCCAAATAAATACAAGCATAGAATATAGAATATAAAATGTAGCTTGTAGACGTTAGTTGACAGGTGACTGAAATGATGATGAACGATAGTGATGACTGCAAACATTTCTTGAATTCAACGATGGAAAAATACTTCACAACATCCAGCAACATACAACCAACACACATTCATCCCAGGTCCCCTTTCCCTGCGACTCACCAACAGGAATTTTGAAGATAATAAGCACAGGCTGTTTCTCTGCTGGGCTGATATCAGCAATGTTTCTAGCGTGATCACTGGCCATGTTGTTCTTTTGATGGGGTTATGGTGCCGTTACTGATTTTATTAAGTACCCTGTACACAATCTTCTGGTAGAGAGGAAATCCAATCAAATTCCTAACAAACTCATCAGTGAATGGTTTATGACAAAGGACTTTCAAATATCTCCCCAAATGAAGAAGTCAATAATAAAAAAAAATGAATAACCAATAATTCACCCAACTTAAAAAACAACTAAATAAAGGATGAGGCGCCC